ACATTCATTTACCTCTCTTTAAAGGACAATAGGTTGCCACATCCGGTTGGCAAAAATCTGTCCGCGCGACTCATTTCACAGATTAACTGCCATAATTTTTGTAAATAACAACAGTTCAATTAGTTGTCTTTACAAAAAATAAATAATGTAATAATAATGCATATGTTAAGAAACAGGATACTGCAAATCTGAAACGCTAATTATGCGTTGTATAAGAACAGGGTATAAATTGCTAAAACCCAAGAAGAGAAGAAAAATTAGGAGATTATCTCATCCTGAAAACTAATTTCATCTTCGCAACTAACACACAACCCTAATTGTTAGAAAAATAAAATTTGCTCTTATCTTTTGAACCCCAGTGTGAGGTGTGAAGGTTAATTAATTTACGGATGAACATCGTCGTTTCTTTGAAAATAAAATTTAAGATTTTGTATGAGTTTAGATGTGATGTAAAGGATATGTTTGACAATATATTCATGGTCTCACAATTACACTAAAACGAATAGGGCCAAATTCATAAACGTCACTAAAGTGACACTCATCCTAAACTCACACTAAGTTGAGGTTAGGCACTAATTTTGGTATTCAAGAACAGTTAGGGACTAATTAGTGACTAACTTTTTTCTAACTATAGGTTAAAGATTTAGGGAAAAGTGAGTAAAATTTGAGTGCGCAATCGCGAGCACTAATCTAACCCTAACTGTCATTTTGCTGTTGTCTTAATTCGTTTTTTATAGATTTGCTATCATAAATTCCGAAGAAAGCAGTTGTGATTACTCGCGTTTATTAGATTATCATTGTTAGTTGTGTTGTTTTTATAAATTTGATTGTTAGTTATTAGTTACGATTATTATAGTTTTGATTATTACTTATTCTTTCGTTATAAATTCATTCTTTACATCTATCAAAATGGATAATAGAATAGAATTATTATTAGTAGAATTTATTGAACACGCTGAAGATGTTTTTTGCCATGATCGTGCACCAAGGTAAGTAAATAACATAATTTATATACACATAAATAGCTAATACACATCATAAATTCGTTATTAGAATAATTTTAAGAGATGTCGGAAATCCTTTGGAGTCCTACCGCCAAAAAGAGTTGATACAACGTTTTCGGTTTGGTCGTGACATAATCCAAAATATATTATTACCATTGGTTTACCCAAGAGACGTTGCTACAACAAATCGTGGCTTGCCAATTCCACCCATCATAAAACTTTGTACCGCTCTTCGGTTTTATGCAAGTGGAAGTTATCAGGTAATTATAAAAGACATCTTTTATAATTATAGTATAAAGGTAGAGGACAAGTTTAGCATATTATTACATCTTGTACTTACAGAGGATATGTGGGGATTTAGCGCACATCAGCCAGACATCCACTTGCCGAATAATAAATGAGGTGTCGGAATTACTGGCAAGAAATATTGGAAAATATGTGAATTTTCCAAGCAGTGAAGCCGAAAAAACCAACCTACGACGAAAATTTTTCGAAATTGGAGGTTTTCCTGGAGTTGTAGGGTGTGTTGACGGGACTCACANTTCCAAGCAGTGAAGCCGAAAAAACCAACCTACGACGAAAATTTTTCGAAATTGGAGGTTTTCCTGGAGTTGTAGGGTGTGTTGACGGGACTCACATAGAAATTAAAAGTCCGGGAGGTGCCAATGCCGAAATATTTAGAAACAGGAAGGGATTTATGTCCTTAAATGTTCAGGTCGTGGCTGGACCAACTTTGAAAATCTTTGATATTGTTATAAGATGGCCTGGGTCTGCACACGATAGCAGGATATTTAATAGCAGCGCTGTGGCTATGAAATTTGAATCGAAGCTATTAACTGGAATATTGTTGGGCGACAGTGCCTACCAGCAAAATCAATTTTTATATTCTCCCATTTTAAATCCACAGACACCACCTGAACAACGATATAATATAGCACATGTTCGTACCAGAAACGTTGTAGAGGTTCCGTTAGTGTTAGTTTAGGTTAAGTGTCACTTTAGTGACGTTTATGAGTTTGGCCCTGAATCTTTGTAAGTATATGTTAAACTCAATCGAACATGCATGATTTGGATTGAAAACAGATGTTAAGCAACTAAGAAATAATTAGTTAATTGAGGGTATTGTGACACCATGAAGTGCTGCATTGCCTTCACGATTAAAAACTAAAATGTTTGTCAACTCAATATAAAAATGAAATCTTCGCGCAGTGTTCAATAAAACAATATCTTGATACTAAGAGGAGAAAGCCAAGTAGGAAAGCTAACACCATCAGACAGTTTAAAGTCTATATGTTAAAAGGTGCTTCACCAGGTTCTACAGTATGTTCCCGGATCGAGTTACAAAGACGAAAAAAAATTAATTACTGAATCGCACAAATTTTATAGTCTAACTATAGAAGTTAAGTAATTATTCCCATTTTTATGTAAAAATTGGACTTTTTTCTAAATTGAAAATTGTTCAAGTTCAATTTGATATGTAACCATAGAAACCATAAAGAAGCAGAAAAAGAGATTAAATGAGGAAGACGCTGCTTCCGTAATAGCATTAAATTCCGTTCAAGAAACTCCAAAATTATCACTTCGAAGAAGTGCGTTACAAATTGAATTTAGTAAATTGCACCTCTCCAGAATTTACAAAGAAAATAAAATTAAATCATTTAGACCACGATTTAGACAGACTTTGGATGCCGGGGATGATGCCAAACGTTTGGCTTTCTGTCTTGAGATTGGTAATGAAATATTAAATAACCGAAATTTTCGTAAATTGATTGTATTTTCGGATGAAAGCACCTTTTCAGCAAATGGCATTGTTTCTTCCAAGCATTGTCGTTATTGGAGTGATGTAAATCCAAATTTTACACTCTCTAGACGTAGTCAACATTTCAAAAAAGTAAATGTGTGGCCATATTTCTTCGATGGAAATGTAAATCAACAGAAATATTGGGATATGTTACAAAATTATTTTAATGAACAACTTCATGAATTACCCTTAAATTTTATACGATCAATGTACTTTCATCAAGACGGTTGCCCAGCTCACCATTCACACATTATGACCGAATGGTTAAATTTACAATTTCGTCAAAAATGGATTGGATGAAATGGTCCTATTTTATGGCCAGCACGTAGTCCTGATCTTACAATTATGGATTTTTATTTCTGGAGCCAATTGAAACAAATTGTTTACAGTGAACCATTACAAGACGATGCAGAACTATTAAAACTAAGAATAATTAATGCGATAGAATCTCTACCACTGGCGGAAATTCGTAATTCTTATAAAGAATTTAGAACTCGTCTTCAAATGTGTGCCGAATTGTTTGTTCACTTACAAATAAATATTATTTATTACTTATATAGTGTGTTATTCCAAAAATTTACATTTGAAATATTTTATTCAATTATTTAGCATAAGTTGTAACTTTTATGGTTTCTATGGTTACATATCATCAATTTATGATACTTGACAATTTTTACATAAAATGGGAATAATTAATTGACTTCTATAGTTAGAGTATACAATTCGTGCCATTTAGTGGTTTGAACATATCCGACGCATTATTTATGCTGATTGTGAGATAAGTTTGAAAAATCAGTAATAAATTATTTTTTCCTCTTTGTAACTCTATCCGGGGACATACTGTATATTGCCAACCTTAGGTTGATCCAACGAAGTAACATTTTAGCGATGAACGAAGTTTTTCATAGAAGTAACGAAGTTGAGTCTACATCATCACCATCAAGCAGCCCTTTGAATTCCTTGTTGTGTGTAGGTATAGGCCTCCCCTATTCTGTTCCATTCGGTTCTGTTCGAAAATGTCTATAAGTTTCCCGTAGACAGCCCATACAAGAGTGAAACTTCTGATTA